GGAGTCCTGATCATACGGGTGTCCTCAGGTCTAGCACAGCCTTGGCACCTGGGGGACATTCAATAATGCCTGTGAAGCTGGGCGACTTGGCAGAGAATGGCCACACCCTCCTCTGTGGAGTTCAAAATGAAGGCCAGGAAGGGCACTGAGTGCCCAGAGATTGCTGGGCAGGGCTGGAGGAGCAGCTGCGGCCTCTGGACAGATTGTGGGTGAGGCCAGGAATAGGGGGCAATTTGAAGAAATTGGAAAAAGGAAAGGGGCTTTGGGGAGAAAGTGGAGGCCGGTGGCAAAAAGCCAGACCTGCTAGAAGGGCCTTCAGGTTGGTCTTAGCGGCTCTGCTGTTTTGTCCTGGGGCTCTTCCAGCAGCCTCTGAGTGAACCTGAGTTCCTATTCCTTCCTCACTGGGGAGAGAGTGGTCCGGTGTTGGTAAGTCCAGAGGCCCTGTCAGTTGGGACAACTGAGCCAGCTTTCCCGGGGCGGTTCCCAACTGGGCTTCTTGCTGACCTGGAGAGCAGGCCCCCGCCGAGGAGCTCCCAGGCCTGTCTCACCGACCAAGGCTCCTGAGCCCTCCACCTCTGCACTGGGAGGTCTCCGGGGGAGAAGGAGAAAACAGCTGAACGTGCCTTGCTGGGATGAACAGTTCCAGAGCTGTGGGTTCTTCTCAAGGGCAGGCTGCAGAGGCAGGGCCTGTGTAACCTGGACTAGGTGCCAGCCCTCTCTGGGGCCCAGGGTCCCTGTCTGGGGAATGGGAAAGTTGGACTGGTTCATCAGACACACAGTCAGCTCGGGGACAAACGGCCTAGCCTGGCGTGCAGGCCTTTCTCAGCTCACCTTCCCCAAGGGCCTGCCTTTACCCAGTGTGGACCCACACTCCCCAGGATCTGCATTTTAGGCCCTTGCTCTTCTCTGAGTCTGTAGGAACCCCATGCCTGCATCCCTAAGGACCACTCTCCCACCCTTACTCACCCTGGGAGATGCATCTCACTGTCTCTTCCCTGGACATGCCCTTTCTCATCCTCAGGCAGACGAATCCCTCCCTAAGGCTCAACTGGCAGTTCCCAAGAGCCTTTCATGCATTCCAGAAACTTCCTCTAGACTCAGAATCAGGGGCTATTGGAATCTCCTTTCACATCTCTACTGACTTGCTAGGTGAACTTAAATGACTTGTTACATCTCTTTCTAAAACAGCAAGGCAGCTGGAGAAGGTGAGTTTAGTCTGTCCACTTGGTGATCAAATTCTAGCCGTTCATTAAATAAACGTGCAGAACCAACGATCTTCTTTCTCTTTGTTCAGAAGAGCAACCACCACCCTGAGTTCTTAGCTCACACACAGTGCTGCCCACGGGCAGATGTCTTAAGGCCTCTTGCATTTGCCCCTCAGCTGTGTCCTGATGTTTGCAACGGCATCACCACCGTCCTGAGTGCTGCTGACGCTGCTTAGAGAGGTGAGCTCACTGCGTGCCAGCCACTCCTTATGTCATGCCCGCAGCACGCACGCTGTGACGTAGGCGCTGCCATTATTCACGCTCCACAGAAGGGGTAAGTGAGGAACAGAGAGCTTACGTGCCCTGTCCCAGGAGGGGTGGTATGGCCCATGACTGATCTCAAGCCGTACCCGTGAGCCTGGGCCACATTTCCCCCTCCCCCTGCACCTCCCACGAGGCCCGCTCCTGCCCGTGATGCTCACAGAGGCCTCAGCGCCTCCCCGGCTGCAGGGACCTGCTCCGCCAGAGTTAAACCAAAGGCTGGGCCCACAGCTGGGGATGTGAGTAGCGCTCTCTCGCAGGGCAGGAAAGACTTGCAGAAGCATGGACATGCCCTGAAGGTGTGAGACCTGATTTAAGTTCCAAAGCAATAACATTAAAAAAAAAAAAGTAACAACAACAATAAAAGCAGTCTCTTTGGCAGCAAGACCTATCTGTTCTGCCTTGCAACAAAAGGTTTGGTTTTTCCTCCCCTGTGTAGGTGGGAGGAAAAGAGATTTGTTAGTGAGCCTGTAGTGTGTTTCATTTTTTGGTTAAAAATGGAAATTATTTCCTCTGATTTCATGAGCCTGGAAACTCTCCTCTGAAGCACAAAAGTGCCCCTAAAAACACCATGCAGGCCAAGGAATCTTTAGACCCATTTAGAACTGTAGCCCTAACAGCCTTCTTTCTTCCATAATTTCACGGTTTGTTTGGAAAACTGCCCAACTATGACACTGTATCATCTGGGATAATACAAGCCTGGTGTGGTGAGTGATGGCTGAAAGCAAGCTTGTCTTCACACACAGCGCAGGAGATACAGCGTGAATTCAAAACCGAGACAGAAAAACAATTTTAAAAGTGCCAACCAGTACACAAATAGGAACACCACCTCACGACGTAACTTTCCAAACACAAAGTCTATAAGAAGTTAAAGTTACAGAGAATTCCACCCACTGTCTTGGTATTCTCTGGTGGCGTTTGGTGCTGAGAACAAATGTGACTTTAATTTGGCCACAGGCAGAAAGAGATCCGACAACCCTACCTCCCTCTGTCCCCCTTAATTTCGGCAGGAGACACCCTGCTGGGGATGGCAGGAGAGCTGGTATCAACAGCTGCAAAGATGAGCTGAAGCAATGCTTTTGAGTTCAGTTTTGCTTTCCTCACAGGCTAATAATCCCTAAATGATGTTATATTTCATTCCGCGTTCACGAGGAATTCCATTGCCATAGCAACCGCAATGTGCTACCACAAGTTTTCTCGAAACTGGGGCTTAGAATATCGCCTCCCCTCCTTGCAGAGCAAGAGGGCTGTGGTCCCCACACAGAGCTCAGGACAACTCCCCCCACCCCCACCAAGGGCCCAGGTCCCAGCCACAGAGGGGGCACTCTGAACTGTGGCCCCTAGAATCTACTACCACACCCTTCCTTCTCTCCACACCCGGCCCCATGAGGACTGTGTCCTAATAGTGACTTCTGGGGGGCAAATGAAACCCGAGAATGAAGTCAGAGCTTTCCTTTGTAGAGTCCGGTAGGAAAAGAGAGTGGAACACGGGTGAATTTAGAATCACTGCTTGCATGAAAAAAGAAGGTATTTTTCCACTTCCTGTATCAGTAATTCCCTGGAAATAGGGACAAAAGACAAACTGTCATCAGGGGAGCTGAAGAGGGCATTAAATACTGCTATCTTGGGGTGGGGTTGTAGGATATTGTCCTTTACGGCCTCCTTCCTTCTAAAACCTCACTCCCTAGCCCCCTGTCGCGTCTCCTCCTGCTCCCCGTTGGAACCATGGCTCTGGTGCAGGTGGGGAAGTGCCCACCCAAAGCCCCCTCCCTAGGGAGGCCTGCCCTCCATCCCTGCCAAGGTCCTGCGGTCAGTGAACAGGGCTTCACTGTTTGCCAAACACTCCGGGTGGGGATGCTGGCGGATGGAGGCAGGCGGGCCGTCCCGCCGCCTGGGACTGGAGTTGATCTGAGCAGGAGGCAGTGAAGACTCCTCCGTGGCATCCAGACTCACGGAGCTAGGTCTGCAGAGAGGGGAGCCCTGGTTCCAGGTAAGCTTCTCCAGGACAGCACGAGGACGCGACTCTCAGCACCTTCCTCCCCGACCCCATCTACCAGCAAAGCCAGGTGGGCCCCACACCTGCCGGGCAGGGCCCTTGTTCCTGCCTCTGCCTTCCCCACATGACCTGAGCCTCTCTGCTCTAGACCTGAGGCCACACTGGATTGAAAGATGACGGTAGGGGTCATTAATACACAACACTTGTGATGTGCCTGGCACATGCTACATGGTGTCTGTGTAGCCTTTCATTTACTTTACGCCACAGAGCAGGCGGTACTGCCAATAGCAGTACCCAGGCCCGGAGAAGTGGAGTGATGTGCCCAAGGTCACAGAGCTGGGAAGTGGCAGAGCCGGGCTGTACTCTTAGGCTCTCTGGGAGCTGGTGGGGACTGCTGTCCACAGCGTGGGCATTCACAAAATCCGCACAAAGCCTCAATGAATCAGAAGGATTTGGTGGATGAATTCAATGAGCATGAAGCAGAACCGAGCCCTCATCTGCGTGCACCGGCGGCCCACATCCTCCCCAGCTCTCCCCCATCCTCCCTCACCGAGGCGGCTTTCAGGGTGCTTGTTTTTCCCTTGCATGAAATGAGAAATGCTGTTTGAATAACCGATGGTGAGGGAGGCTGGGCGCACTCTGATGCAGAAATAAAAACCTTTAGAAAGATGCAATTTGGGGGATATTGGAAACCGGAGAACGGAACATCAGTCTATAAAACTCAACACGGCCAATGAAGCTGGAGCAGTTGGTCAAGTGTTTTAGTGCTCATGGGGCCGGGGATCGGCAGACATGAGGCTGGGCAGGGTTTTCAAACCAGGGACATTTTTTCCTGGACTCACTTTGGCCTCATTTCCATAATGTGCCTCATGATTTCTGAAGCACCTCAGCGTGAGCGTCATAAGCGCAGCCATGAAAGTGTCCAAGACTATTACCATCACGGGAGCAGCCCGACCCACCGGAGCCTCGCCTGCTCCTGGACACATCCCCCCGACTCCCGCTGCCACAGCACTGCCACAGGGGGAAAGTGGCCCTTCGTGTGGCTGCGGGCGGCACGGGGAGCGGCTGTAGGGGCTCAACAGACCTGTGCTCGGCTGCTGAGAACGCCCTGACGTCCTGGTCACACCTCCGCAGGCTTGGGGCCTGTTAGGGAGATGCCGGGCCCTGCCCCCTCCGCTCCAGGTGCCCAGGCCCAGGTGATTCCCACGCTCCTTTCCCTCACTGTTGCAGGCACTTGGTGGCTTCCATCCCTTCACTTCCCCTGCCTGTCCTACCCCAAAGGTCTGCCTAGATTCTGCTCCCCAAGCCCCGCCCCCGCCCCCGGCCGCCGCAAAGGCAGGGGTTGCTATCTGGCTGAGGTTCCAGCCTTCCTTTACACGTTCAACCTGCAGCCTCAGCACCTGGGCCATTTGTCAAAAGGGCATCAGAAGATCCATCCCCAAACCCAAAAGCATAGGGGCAAGGAAGCAACTTCCTACCTTTAAGGAAACAGTCCTTGCTGTGGACAACGACGATCTTTCTCTCCAGCAGGCAGGCGGCTCGGTGGAGCTCACAGTGATTCTCATAAAACCTCCCATCGGAGCCACACACGGGCATGTAGCTGGGCCTACATGCCTCCAGGCACCGGCATTCGGGCTCCCCTGTCTCTCTGCTGAGCATGCACCTGCTCCCGCGGCTGCAGAACTTCTTCCCACAGGAGGCTGGCAGCCCATCGTGGCCAGAAAGTCCTGCCAAACACACAAAACAGAGGGTCAGCTGCAAGCATTTGGTGGTGGGGGTCAAGGGCTTCCTTTGTGGTTCCATTTGCCGGTGAAGCCAAGGCCTTGGGGCTTGGTGTGCCCAAAAGAGTCTTTGCCCTACCAACAGGAGATGGCCATGGGTGCCAAAAGCAGCACCCTGCTGTACAGGGTTCAGGTTTTATGGTTGGCTCACACCAAACATCTCAGGCACACCCCCTCCCCCACCCGCCCATCCTGGGAGGGAAGAGTAGCCAGGGGACCACAGGGAGGTAGCACAGTGCCAATGGACCGTTGCTGAGTGAGAGGAGGATGGCTTGCCAAAAGGCAGGGCTCGAGCCATGGCTCCCATAACTGCACTGGAGGGACAGACCTGATGGGAGGAGGAGTTTTGTACAGGGGCGGGGTGGGAAAGGTAAGGATGCCAAGGTGTGATTCTAGGAGACATACAGCGCCAAGCTGAGGAAGTGTGGTCAGATGTTAGGCAGTGGGGAGCAATGGCGGAAGCTAGGGAATCAGTGTGGAGTAAGAAAGGAGAAAGCGGTACTCTAAGTGTTCAGGATGGGGGTGGCCACGGCAGGGACGCTTTTGAGCTTGACGTTGTTCTCTGGGGAGAATGTGGTTCTCCAGGATACACACCACCGGTGGTGGGACCAGTAGCCTTTCTCTACTGCCCAGCCCTTTCTAGCACGAAGCAGGAAGCTACAGCCGTGGGAGGGAGGCTGAGACCCGGGGAATAGCTGCTGCCACGCTCCTGGGTGTTCCCTGCACCCAACACACGTGCACAATGGTGTGAGGCGGTGGTGCCCAGAACTCACACTCCCACGTGGGCAGGGTGGCCAGGAGAGTGTCTTATTGCTGGAAGGGCCTGCTTACAGGAAAGGCCCAGGAAGCACCCCAAAATGACATTCCACTCCACTGGGGGAGTCCAGAAAAATGCAGTATTAATGGCAGCAAACTCAAGTTGAGAATAAGAAAGGGATATCAAAATACAAATAATTAAAACACGAATGCAGATTTTATGGCCACGGAAGTCTTTGCTTTTAAGTTTTAATTAGATCTTCTTCACAATACTCAAGCGAGACAGAATGGCCCCGGTGGTCAACACTGAACATTTGGCCCCAGCTCCGATCTCATGGGATTAAAATGTTTGGGGGGAGAAAACAACCTTCTTTTTCTTGTTTTTGGTTACGCCTGCTTTTCATCATTCTAGATTTGAAAGGAAAAAAAATCAGTTATCGATAGATTAACTGCTTAATTCAATAATTCATTTAAATTCTTCCAGCCTTGGCAAGTTAAGAAATATTGACTTTTTCTTGAATCATAATAAACTAGAAGGTCAAACTATTTCTGTTTTTTTTTTTTTTTTGTCTTCACTTATCTTTACTGGAGAAAAATAGTAAAACAGGATTATAATGGTGGGTTATACAGAAATACTTACAAATGACATAGAGTTGCCATGTATTAAGTCAACAGAACATTTTAAACTGTAGATTTTCCTTTTTTTCCTATAGTTTTCACACCTTTATGAAGAAAATGCAAAGAGTGGCAATGGGAAGGTGAACGAAGCTTTGGCCTTGAATTCAAATAGACTCGGGTTCAGACCCCAGATATTTACTTTGCTTCTTTGAGCTTCAGTTTTGTCACGAATAAAACAGGAATCCTAACGCCTACCTTTTAGGGGTACTGAGAGAGTTAAATATATCATTAATAAAAGTCCTACATTGTACCTGAATATCATAGGTACTCAATAAATGGCAAGTTGTGTCATTAACAACAACAACAACAACAAAACCCCAAAAAACAAATTGACACAAAGAAGGAGATTAAATCCGGCAATTTAATCACTGGTTGTCCTTTTCTTAAAATCGCCAAGTTCTGATTGCGTAGTAGAAGCCCTTACTCGTGACTTCCTCCAGCTGGGAAAGAGGAAGAGAATACCGCCTCAAGAAAGGGGGGGGTAAGACAGACGATGAGTTCCCAGAGAAAGGAAGAGAAAATAGAATACTTCCTCCAGAAAAGAAGAAGAGGAGGAAGGAGGGCATGAGGTCTGACTTGATGGTCCTGACTACACCCTCAAGAATGAAAACCCGATAAACAATGGCAAAACCTGAAAGCGGAGGAGCTTCAGGAGTTTGCCCTGCTTCCTGTTCAGCACTCTAGGAGGAGACAACTTGCAAGACAACCACACCCAGCACAGGACTACTACAGAGTAAAATGGTGGCATGGTGTGAGCGGGCCAAAGAAGGTTCTGTGATGGCAGGCCTCAAACTTTCTTGGCTCTTGTGCAGGAGGCTCTTGTATCCAGGTATTCCTTTGTAATCCCAGTGGGATATGTAGACGGTTGCTGTTGAGAGTGAGAAGCCATTGGGGCCATTGTGAGATGATCCCAGGAAAGGTGCTGCAGGGCAGACAGGCTAAGCCAGGGCTCAGAGGGCAGACGTGGCTGAGATGCGAGGAACTGCAATGCTTAAACAGGTTCTAGGAGGTAGAATCTGAATCTTCTGAGCTGTCTGGACATCAGTGCTCTCCTCGGACTCGCTGGGTTCCTTGCTGTCACTGCCACTATCATCAGCGGCAGGGTTCTTCTCCTTCTGACCATCCTCTTCGGAACTAGGAAGTGGGCTTCCCTGGGTTTCCTGGTTTTCCCTGGAGCCCAGCACCACAAACCTGCCCTTCTTCAGCTCCAGCTGCCTTAGCTCATCTGCCATCTGTGAGAGATCCCGTTTCATAGCATAGGCATCTTCCCCATCTGCATAGAATTTGGGTTCCACCTCACTAACCTGAAAGTTGAGGGTGTTAGAATAGAGGTGCAAAGCTGCGCGGTTACTCTTCCTGATGTGCAGGGATACGTACTTGGCGCTAAAGTTCTCTATCATGGCCCGGGAGGCCTGGTCCATCCGCGTCTGGGCCAGGCCGAGGCGCCGGTGTGAACGCTTCACCGCCAGCGAGGTGATATGTCCATGGGGGACGTCATCTGGGTCCTCCTCCATTTTGGCCAGGACGTAGCCCACAATCTTCCCGCCCTCGTCCTCAGCAATGTAAGAAAGCTGCGGCCAGGAAAGGCCATGGTAGAAAGAGTATTTCATCTGGTAGTTCTCGGGAAGGCAGAGAAGGTTGCAGTGTTGCATGTTAATCAGGTCATCTGGCCGAGCATTGCGGATGTTCATAATGGCGGCGGGTAGCAAATGGGGTCGGATGGTGGTGACCCGGAAAGAGGCTGCCACCAAGCACAAGAGTCACTTTTTGCCTGGAGGACTTGGTCCAAGGGCGAAGGTCAAACTATTTCTGAGCAGTGTCGAAGTACGGATCCTAAGCAGGCGTGTGACTCTCCTTTATCCACTTGGCTGACGTTCCACGTGTCACGGCAGAGGCTCGGCGGCATTCATCAGCTCCGGCACACATTTTCCTGTCAAGGTTGAAAGGTGGAGGGGAGCTGAGGTTTCCTGGCAGTGGGAGGCCCTGGGCTGGAGGCCCTCCACCCACGGTGTTGATGGCTACTTTGCTACAGAGTGTGTTTGATTAGCATGACTCTCCTGGGTGGCTGCAAAATGGGTTACCCTGGAAAGCACTTGGCAGCTACTAGAAGAAACTAATACAGCTCTTTCCAGCTGACTCAGCTCCAAGTACTCACCCCCTGGGGTCTAGCACCTCTCTGAGGTGCTCACTGCCAGCGCAAGTCCGAGCCGAGCCCGCTGCCCCCTCCTCTGAATTCCCTTCCCAAGAATGTCTGCCCCACTCTCTGGATGAGAGAGACCCTGCAGGTACGGGGCGGGGCCTCTGTCCTCACAGAGCCCTGGACACTCATGCTCAGGGAAACACAGGAGTTTTAAAAGCTGACCTTCTCAGCTCTGATTTGGTACCACTGCTCAAACTTCAGGTTAGAGGCAGAGATGGGGAGGGTAGTGGGGGCCCCATGCCCCCACGGGGGGACCTTTTGAGGGGTACATCTCCCCTTGCCTCCTCTGTCGGAGGGCAGGAGGGAAGCTGGAAAGATGGAGGCACAAACGGGAGACAAAGGTCGATGGAGGTGGGCCTTGTGGGGTAAAGGAGACTAGAATCTGGAGTGGCAGAGTAGGAAGAGACTTCAGAGACCACCTAACTCAGCCTAGGCAGTTAAAGCCAAGCCCGCTTGCAACGGATGGCAGGGCAGAGGGTGGGGGCAGAACCCCTTCCATCCGACCCTTTCTCCTCTCAAGCACCAGCAGGCTCCAATCGCAGTGAGTGCTTCCAAAGACTAGCACTGGATACCAGGCCTCCAGTTCCCACGTATGAGTAGCTCACAGGCGTTACTGAGGCCTCCCCCGTAGGCTGTGCCCTGAGGAGTCAGTGTTAAGAAAACACTCGGGCCAACCTGTGCTCACAGAAGTTGTCAAGAACACTCAGGTTCTCTTTGACATGGAAATGGACTGTTGGCAAATATTTGATTTTTTTAATCAAATTATTTGCAATTAAGACAAAAAGTACCTGAGCAGCCATGCATCTGCTGCTTTTCCCAGCCTGTGCCCAGCAGGCCCGGGGACAAGCTGAGAACGTCCTACACAGGGGTGGGCCTGGAATCCCATCCTTGGCCACAGAGACGTGGACCAAGCAGTGGGTTCCTCGCTAAACAAGCCCCTTGTCACTACTTCCTCCTTGTTACTAAAACAGAATGAATTCCCCAGTCCTAGCAGGATGATGATAAAACAGTAATGGGAAAGGTAACCAAGTGAGACCACCAGCAACTGTCTACAGTATTTATGAGGACGACCATGATGCATGAAAAAGATATAATGTGCTTAATTTATAGTCATAAAAAAAGTCATTTACCCAGGTTAGAAACTGATCATCTTACCAAATAAGTGGCTTTTCGACACTAATTAAATTTACTGAATGCAGTCAGAAATGGGAATTGTTACATGAGAGTTATGACGCCAGAGAAACAAGTCCATTTGTACCAGCTGGTGCTAGAGATCCCCTCTGTGACTCAGATCGGGATTCTCGATTTGAACTCACAGACCTGGGCTGCCATCGCCTCCCAGTGACGGGGAGGTGGCCCAGCTTAGCGACAGTGGGAGCTGAGTCCACGGGACTCCGTTGAGGGATCAGACAGAAGAGGTGGGTCCTTCTTTGTTCCCCCATTGCAGGGGGCCCGCTTTCTCATCACTGACCATACCACGTGGCAGTTTCCAAACTCTGACTCAGTCTCCATAACTGGTGCCCTGGCGCAAAGTACATCAGTGAGCATTTCCCTCTGGGGGATGGTGCCGAGTGGCACATGAGGGGAAGCATGCTAGTTTTCTACTGAGGGATGCTAACTGCTGCAGGCAAGCTTGCCCCGGGCAGCGCTCCTGACCGAGACCTTGTCCCCAGCTTGACCACTGAGGAGAGCCCCCTTCTCGTGATGCCATCTTGGGAGGTCCCCACGACTCGTCCAGCAAAGGACTAGGCCTGAAATCCTTATGACCTCATCGCACCCCACCAAGAAACCACACTGAGGTGACGGCTTGGCTCTGAGGCGAGCACCCACTCTGCGGGGCCCAGAGCAGGCCAAGAAGAGTAGGCCGTGGCCAGAGAAAACATGGACAGCACCAAACCCCAGGCGCCCCGCGCTGACAGCCTGCCGGGAACCTGCCGTGAGCCCCAGGCCAGCACAGCGGCAGTCTCCGGCCTTGGTGGCCAGAAGGTCCCTTACAGGAACTGAGTGCCCACCTGTCAGCAGATACTGCCCTTTACAGATGGATTCAATGCTTTATTTTCTGAGCAAAAACACCTACCCACCGGGGAGCTACAGCACATAGCCTGGGTCATGGTCAGGTTTTTTTAAGGACCTAGAGCTGAGGACTTGCCTTTGGGAGCCCGCTGTGCATACAGAGGTGTTGGACAGGTGGATGTGCCATCCAGGAGCTGCCGTTCCTGGTCCCAGGACTCCCCACCCCGAACCTTCCAAGAACACGTATCCTCTCAGACACGCCCAAGGTGGACGGGAGACAGTGTCTGGTGAACTTTGACTCGCTCATGACAGAGACCATGCAAGTGCCTTGTATGTAGCTGCAGAACTTGAGTTTGTGCAGGAGCCCACAGAGACCCAGCTCCCCAGCCCGTGCCTGCACACAGGTGGTAACAGTGGGGTGCTTCACCTACACAGCCGGTGAAGAGTCCAGGAGGACCTCCTCTGTGCCAGACCGATTCCAGGTGCTGGGGGCACAAGGCCCACCAGGAAACTGTCCTCAGGGCAGGACGCTACCGTGTGGGGAGACACACAGGAGCGTGAACACAAACAAACAAATGTGGGTTGTAGTCAATGCTGGGAAGGAAACAGACCGGTTGCCGCGGTGGGCCAACTCTCTTGGAGTCAGAGAAGCCTTGTTGAGGAGGTGACATTTGACCTGAGGCCTGATAGAGAAGGGGCAGAGCCTTGGGCTGGGGCTGGGGAGCAGCCTGGGGGCTCACAGGAAGAAGCCCGGCTCACAAAGCCCTGCTCCGAGACAAACCTTGCCAGGCAGGTGCAGGCTGCCGGCAGTCATGACTGCAGACGCCAAATTGCCGCTTTGCCCCACTGTACCCTGGGGAAAGTGGGGTGCCTCTCGTTCTCTGGAGGTGTTTGTCAGCCCCTGAGTACTGAGCATTGAAAGGAGGTCTAATCGCCCTGATGTTCGGCACCCTGGCTCCCTTTCTGGCTGAAAGGGGCTCCTCCCACAGGCCAGAAGGTTCTTGGCACCTTCCGGGCTGCTGGTGGGGAAGGGAGCAGCCCTCCTGGGCTCTCACCACGAGTCACCTTGGTGGGAACCAACACAGCCTCTGGGTGCCCTGGTGGCTGGGGCTGTGCCAACTTCAGCTCTGCCCTGGAAAGTCTCATTCACACTGGAGGGACGGGAAGAGAATCTGTAGCTACCCCTAGGGAGATGCACATTCCAGCACCCAGCCAGAGAGGGCAGTGTGTAGAGTAACCACGATTTACTCAACGCGTGCCGTGCCTCACGCTTAGAACACGTGAGCTTGTCTCATTCTCCTTTAATCCTTACAACAGCCCCATGAAGCAGATGCACGCACAGGCCTCACCCTGAATGTGTATGTGGCGTACATACGTGCCCATTCAACAGATTAGGAAATACGAGTCAAGAAGTGATTTGCCTATGCTCAGATAACAAGTAGGTGGGAGGCAGCCGAGCCTAGATTTCAACCAATCTCACCCAAATCCTTTAGACGCGGGACAATCTCAACCAGGGATATGCTCCTGCCTCAAGGAACTCATGCCGGGAGGGTCCACACATCCACAGTGTGAGCTTCTCCAACATCAGGGCACCTCCAAACATCAGCATGCCTGGCCTACAGGATCTCTGCTGCACATACACCAAAAGCGTGCAGCTTGGAGGCCCAGTTAGCACTTTCTCTACAGGCTGGAGGTCCACAGTGCTATGTGAGGAAGCCCTCCTGGGGTCTCAGAGCATCACAGACCCAAACCCACTCCTTACCATGCATAGACCCCTGGCCAGAGGCCCCCTCCCTCTAATGGGATGCCCCTCAGCTTTAGCGCCTTCCTGCCCTCCTTCTCTGGCTTTTTTCCCCCAGAAATGGTCCAGGTGACTGCTGGGCAGATGTGATTTCCTCTCAGTGACCCCAGAGCGGACCCTACGCTGAGGCAATTGTGTACTTCGTAAAAGCAGAATTTTGACGAGCTCTGAAAGACATGCCCAAATTTTCTAGGTCTGAACGCTAAACAGAAATATCTGGTTACCCATTGCTGGAAGCTAATGTAACTTGTCATGTGTATTGCTGAGAGATTATAACCAAGGTCCAACAAACTGGCTTCAAACATAAACCATCTGGAAAGAGCCTAAATGTCCATTGATAGATGAATGGATAAAGAAGATGTGATACACACACACACACACACAATAAAGTATATGTTAATTAAACTGAATTTAAATAAAAAAATTAATAAAAAAAAAGAACCATTACATCAAAGTCAGAAATGCCTGGAACAAGGGCTGGCACAACAAGCTGGCTCTTTCTGGCCAAGGGATCAGGATGTAACAGACCGCTGGTTGTCACATATGCCCTGATGTCTCTGGAAGGGCTTTTGGAGGTGCCCATCTCCAGCCACAGATGAACCCAATGCCAAAGCGTACTTTTCAAAAACCTAAAAGCGTGCCTCTCATGAGAATATAAAGTGAACACGAGGTGAAGATTTACTTAACTCATTAACGAGGGGACCTGCGGGAGTGAGAAGCTGGTTCAGGGCTACACAGGCGTTGGAGACAGAAGGTGGACTGAACAGGTGG